TTAACTACATCCTGATTTGTTGAAGGATGAAAATAATATTCAGGACATATTTTTTTAATGTCCTAAACTTCTGAAAATATAGACAATAAACTGAGATTTTCAGAAGTTAAGGACATTTTAAAAATATATGTCCTATATATTAGATTCATACTTCAAATGTTCAGGACGTTTCAAAAAATTATGTCCTGAAGTCTACTTGTACCAATCTCATTTTAAAAATAAGATGTAGCAAGCTGTGTTTAGCATGCTGCAGATGTCAAGTTTTATAACTACTGATTTGTCTATTTTAAATGGCCAGTCTTTTATTAAATCTGTAGAGATATAGCAAAAGATACATTGATTGTTGTAGAACTTAGGACATAATATTCATAAACGTCCTGATTTGTTGAATGATGAAATAATATTCAGGACATATTTTTCTGAAATGTCCTGAACTTCTGGGAATCTAGATAATAATCTGAGATTTCCAGAAGTTAAGGACATTTTAGAAATTTATGTCCTTAATATTAGATTCATACTTGAAATTTTCAGGACTTTTAAAAAATTATGTCCTTAAGTTTTACTTGTACCGATCTGATTTTAAAAATAAAGATGTAGCAAGTTGCATGCGTCAAATTATATAAAGAAAAGGAATTTCTTGTTTACTTACGGCAAGACTAAAATCCCATAAACAATAATTGATCCGACAAAGGTAAATTGGACTCCCAGAAAAAGAAAAAGAAACAAAGAGCACGTAAGCGCAAAGAAACTTTAAAAATTCAGGACATCTTTTATATAAACATATGCTAATGTTTACTTGCTCAAATAAAAACAATCTAAATGAATCCAATTTATAGCAAAAGCTTAAAAGAGTAGATAAATATAAGTGGCTATATCTATTATTCTCTATGCTTCCTTAAAAATGGATGGACTGCCGGAGAATATATACAAGATGTTCTATTATGACCAATTCTTCTGCAACAACCACATTTGAATGTTATTTTTGATGATTCGGTAGCTGGAATATGCCTTTTCTTCTGCCTTCTACCTGGCGGGACTTTGAAATCTGGAGGTTTAATAATTTGTGACTTAACACTCTATGGTACAATCCAAGAATCTGTATGTCCTACATGCTGTATTTGTCTTTCATATGTCTTCATCCAAGATTCCTTTAAGTACCAGTCCGAGCAGAAATTGGACTTCTTGATGTTTCTCTTCTCGATAGATGCAATTGCATGTATACATGGTAATTCATCAAATTGAAACTGAAAACAATCACATGTTCTTTTGTTTAAGTCCACCAAGAAAGTAATTTCTTCTTCCTCAACTCTAGAACGCCATGAATCAACAGGGAAGACCTTCAAAGTTGAAAAACTATAAGTTATTATATTATGTTAAATTATCATTAAAAAAATAAGATAAAGTAATAACATAATACTTACATTTAAAGTAAAAGCTAAATCTATCTTTTTATTCAATTCCTCTTCTGCCCAACAAGAAACGTCATAAAAAGTTCCTTCTGCTTCATTTCTTCTTTCATAAAACCAACGTTGTAGCTTCACTTGGATGAAATCCATCATGCTTAATATAGGCAGCTCCCTTGCTTCTAATAGTACAGAATTCATTGACTCAACTATGTTTGTTGTGAGCATGTCATATCTTCGTCGTGGACTACAAGAACGTGCCCACCTTTCNATGTCCATTTTTCCGGTGGTTCTTCCATCAAGTAATCAAAAGTCTTCTTATCAACTTTTGCTATATCTGACATGTATAGATCAAATTCTTTGCGCCTGCATACTCTTGCAGCACTTTGGAAAAGTTTTATGACCTCATTTTTCACTTTCCTTCGCTTTAGGTTCTGCTCCAAATAATAGATACAAATCCCATGGTGGCTTTCAGGATATATCTTTGTGATGCCTTGTGCAATAGATTGATGCCTGTCCGATAAAAAAATTAAATTGTCACGGCTCCCAATTGCATTGCGAAGCTCACTAAAGTACCACTCATAGGAATTGTTATTTTCAGATTCTGCAATTCCAAAGGCTAGTGGGAATATTTGGTTATTTGTATCCTTTGAAACTGAAATCAATAAAACACCATGATATTTTGACTTCAAAAAAGTTGCATCAACAACAATCATTCCAACCAGCTATTGATGATCCATATGCATAAAACATATAAAGAAACCTGAAAATACAGTTTAACAGAAGGTTAAAAATACAGGATACCAAATCCTTAATATTTACACTGTACACATCAAAGTTAAGGACAACTTGTCCTTAACATTTTCACTGCACACATCAAAGTTAAGGACAACTTATCCTTAACTTTTACAATGCACACATCAAAGTTAAGGACACCATGTCCTTAACTTTTACAATGCACACATCAAAGTTTAGGACACCATGTCCTAACTTTTTCACTGCACACATCCAAGTTAAGGACACCATGTCCTTAATATTTTCACTGCACACATCAAAGTTAAGGACACCGTATCCTTAACATTTTCACTGCACACATCAAAGTTAAGGACACCGTGTCCTTAACATTTTCACTGCACATATCAAAGTTAAGGACACCATGTCCTTATCTTTTTCACTACACACATCAAAGTTAAGGACACCACGTCCTTAACATTTTCACTGCATACATCCAAGTTAAGGACAGCATGTCCTAAAGTTTATAAAATAGACTAATAAACTCTTTTTGATTGTTTACCTATTGTTGTCGTCTATCTTTATGTTAGTGTATATTACCGGATTTTTACTTTTTATCATATACAAGTATGAAGACAATAATTCATAATTCTCTTCAGGATTTCCTCTTATTAAAGTTGAAGCACGTTGAATAGCACGCCACGCCTTGTGATAACCAATATCTAGTCCATGCAATTTTTGCATCTCTGCCATGGCAAAGGCTGGTGTAACTTCAAACCTTGGGTATCGAAGATTATCAATAATGTAACCACTAATCTACTTTGAAGTTGTATGCCTTTGATCAGTTTTCATAGTGTTAACTGAGCAGTCATGATTTTTCTCAATCTTTACTATCTCGAATAGTGTTGAATCTTTAATTCTGAAAACACGTACACACCACCCACACCTATCATCATTGCATTTCAACGAATATCTTGTTGAGCTTGATCTAACAACCTTGAATTCAAAATGTCCATTAATTGCTATATTCGAAAAATAGTTAATTATACTCTTCTTGTTCTCAAATATTGATCCCACTTTTATTTCATCCAATGAAACATTTTCTCTTAATATTGTAGTTGGGGATTCTTTTTATTTAGAATTTGAGCTTCGTCTAGTTAGTTGAGTAGAGGTTTTTTCAATAACTTTTTCTATTACCAGTGCACTCTCTAAGACTTGAATACCCAAAGCTTGTTCGTTGTCAATCTCTATAATGCTTTGTCCTTCCACTTGAATAGAATCAAATGTTTGAAGGACCTCTTCAGTTATTGGTTAAGTTTCAATCACATCTATTTCCATTATCTGTTGGCATTTGTCTTGATTGTCTTGTTGAGTTTCTGTATTGACATGTTCAAAGGTGCTTGTAGAACCAAAAACTCTTTCCGAAACATTAATAATGAAACGACAGCCCTTGAAGAGTGAATGACTTTTTAGTAACTCTATACATGTATGAAGATCTAAATCTTTGGATACAAGCATTCCCTTACTTGTTCCCAGGTTGATATAAAACCATATCATTGCTTCTAACTTGTCTCTATCCAATTCAATAACTTTAAGGACATGGTTAATGAAATCTTTAAATTGAATTGCCTCAGGTACTAGAACAAGCTTTGTTTGATGATCAAGATACTTATAGTCTGCAGTCCATCTACCATTAAAAGCAACTATAATACATATTGTATCCATCCTTCAAGTCAAGAAAATGGAAAATTTAGGACATATTTATACAGCAATCGTGAAGTTAAGGACACAATATCCTAAACTTTATCAATGCAAGTTGCAAAACACAGGACACTATGTCCTTAATATTTAGAATAACAGTCATGAAGTTAAGGACATCATGTCCTAAATTTTATCAATACAAGTTGCAAATACAGGACACTATGTCCTTAATATTTACACAATAGTCATGAAGTTAAGGACATCATGTCCTAAACTTTATCAGTACAAGTTGCAAAAACAGGACACTATGTCCTTAATATTTACACAGTAGTCATGAAGTTAAGGACATCATGTCCTAAACTTTATCAATACAAGTTGCAAATACAGGACACTATGTCCTTAATATTTACACAGTAGTCATAAAGTTAAGGATACCATGTCCTAAACTTTATCAATACAATTTGCAAATACAAGACACTATGTCCTTAATATTTAGAACAACAGTCATGAAGTTAAGTACATCGTGTCCTTAACTTTATCAATACAATTTGCAAATACAGGACACCATGTCCTTAATATTTAGAACAACAATCATGAAATTAAGGACATCGTGTCCTTAACTTTATTAATACAAGTTGCAAAACACATGACATTTTATCCTTAATATTTTTTAGAACAACAATCATGTTAAGGACACCAAAATTTTAACATTATATCCTCAATATTTACAGAACAATCACAGAGTTAAGGACGCGATGTCCTTAACGTTATCAATACAGAAAAGAAAAAAAATTAAATTCCTAGCATCTTATTCTTTAGTAACGAAATAAAAATCTACACAAACACACAAAAGCATATAGAGATATCTGAAACTTTAGAACTTACTGTAATTTTATGGTGAATTTTGGACGAGAAAGTTGAATTCTCTAGTTTGAAATCGAAAGAGAAGCTTATGCAATTTTGGACGATCACAACAATTCTCTGCACGTAAGTTAGCGTAGGTATCATGAAAATCCTTATAGCAGAAGGGTATTTTCGTTCGGGCGGGTAAAAGTTTATTAAAACAATGGCTAAAGACTAAAGATATTTAAAACAGTTACTTAAAAGTAAATAACTATCTGTGCACATCGCCCCACAACTGTCAGGTTAGTTTGGGTTGGGTCAAACTCAACTGGGCCCAATTCTTTGGGGGCCAATTTCAATTACGGCAATCTTCTCCGGCCAAGTCCACACCAATTTCCCCTTTGCTGCAAAGTAGCTCCTCTTCCCTTCTCCTGCGATATCCGACTCGTAAGCCCTCTTCTCTCTCTATCTCGTAAGCCCCTTTGCCCATGATCTTTTTAAAGGCGATTTCTACAAATTATTATGTGCACAGAATTCTTGTTTGCTTCCTATATGATAATTGTTTCTATCAGTAATGAGGTTGTTAGTACTAATCACTCCTTTTAAGAATTATTAATCAGTTGTCTGATGACTTGTATTATAGAGTATGAATTCTGCTGTATAATGAATACCTACACTGACACGTTGAGGCTCGCTTTGGAGCATGAGATATTTTGCACTAAATAGTTCCAAAGTTGTTGCTTTACTAATCTGCTTTTGTGAGTATTAGTAATTTGATCATTTTAAAACTTAGATGTTAACGTTATATTGAGCGTTTACCAGTTGGGGTGCAAGTTAAAAATGTAAAGTCATTTACCAAATCTTTCTTATTATTCAGCCAACACAATTCCTGCTTCTAACAATCCCAAATGGTAGTATTTGACATAGATCCGTTTGGATGCAAATATCTAGATTTAAAAAATAAAAGATCAAATGTTATCCAATTGTCATTTGAAAAAAAAAAAAAAAAAAATCAAAAACAGGCTGAAATAACTGGGATTGAGTTTGTATTACAAACCCAAAAATTTCGATTAGACTTTGTGCTTCAAATCCAAATTTTCTTAGGTATATTATGACAGGGTCAAAGGATTAGGGATTCCTCCATCCAAATGAGCCCTGAATTAATTTTAAATTTCCATACAATTAAAGTAGTTCATCTAAACCAATCTCTGAGCTAGGTTAATATGGTTGAGAATTGATAGTTAAATTCTCTAACAATTTAGAATGTGATTATTGGTTAGTAGAGAGACAAATCAACTAGCCCCGAACTACTAGTTAGTAGAAAGTGGAATCAATAAAAAATGCTTTCTGTCTCTGCTGCTCTGTGGCTGGATAGATTACGGAGTGGAGTATTAGGGAAATAAATGGTGGTTGGATGGTTTTAAAGTAAGTATTAAGTAGAGATCAGAAATTCCCAATGGGGTTTGAGAGAAGGTGCAGAAAGCAAAGCCACAGGAAAATCCAAATAATTGGAACTTTCACTTTCCAGATCCCCAGAATCAATGGCAGGACTCTGGAGGGCGAGGTGTCAATTTGACTCAGCTTTCCTTTCCCTCCTAGTTTTAAACTGTACATGATACGGTGGATCTGTTCAGAAATTTTTGTTCTATATGGGCTTAATCAAATAGTTGATTAGTTGCAAATGCTCATGCCATTGCATAGATGAAGTAATGTTGTAGTTAACGTAACTTCTAATCCGTTTCTTCAACCCCAGATTTGGTTTTGGTGAATTACATGATGAATGCTGCAGCATCATTGTTTAGGAGGTTAAATATCAGAGAGCTGGTAACAGGCACACCTGCTTACAATACTGCTAGTGGTGCGTATCTTGTTGCACTCTTTGCTAAAGCATATGCTTTGGAAATAGATGAAATGTTTAGAAACTCTGACATATGTTTCCTTTGTGCAAATTTAAGATATTTCCGGAGATGGATTGAGCTTGATGTTTAGGAGGTGGGCTACCAAAAAGACAGCAGGGTCTACAAAGAATGGCCGTGATTCAAAACCGAAGAATCTAGGCGTGAAGAAATTTGGTGGAGAGGTAAAAAAATCTCTGCTTGTGGAAAAATGGGATGAAGCATTAATCAGTTTAGGAGAAACTTTTCTGTTCCAATGTTGCATATAGAGCATACTTTCAGACCAATTCTTACCAACATCAGTATTCTTTTTGTAACACAGTTTTTTACATGCAGAGAGTGATACCTGGAAATATTATTGTTCGTCAAAGGGGAACCCGATTTCATCCTGGAAACTATGTTGGAATTGGGAAGGATCACACGCTTTATGCTTTGAAAGAAGGCTGTGTTAANACTTTATGCTTTGAAAGAAGGGTGTGTTAAGTTTGAGCACCACAAGCTGAGTGGGCGCAAATGGGTGCATGTTGAGCCTAAGGATGGTCATGTGCTTCACCCGGTTTACTCAAGCACTACCACTGCTGAGCTGAAGACAGCTACTTAAATTTCTCTTATTTGTCAACTGTTTGAGTGATTCATGGATTATAGATCTAACAAAATAAGCCACTAAAAAGGCTGTCTAGTTTTGTATCTTCTTTAGGTCTCTAGATTTAAAGCAAATAATTTGAAGCGTAGTCCGTGAAATGATGTTCTGGCTCAATTTTTTGATAAAATATATTGTGTTGGTGGAAGCTTTGTATGGATGCGCTTAATAGCTTTTGGGTTTTCCATTCTGAGCATCATAAACTTGCTGAAACATTGACATGGATTCAAGTGATGAGACCACAAACACATTGTCGATGCCTCTACCTGAAAATATCTTTGATAAAGGTAAGCAGGTAAGAGCTCATTGTTTGGTCAAGGCAGTTCTATGAAGCTAAGAAACTATCAAGGTGGGAGTGAAGCTGCCAACGTGAATATGGCGTTTGGGATAAATTATAATATTGCCAATAAGCCTTTTGAAAGGAGGTTATTTTCTGACACTACAATCTACAATTAGGCTTTTATTTTGCTTTGTAGAGCTGCTAGTTAGATATTAGGCTGCAGAGATACTCACACCTTGGGCTGTTGATATTTGCCAATTATGTGAACCTTAAGCTGGTGATATCTGCTGATTAACTTGACAATTTTGCTGGTTGTATCATTTAGGACCCCCAAAACGACATGCTGTTATTTTTTCTTTTCTTTTTTGCTGTCTGTGTATCTCATAAACTTTTTTGATGTGTGTGTGTGTGTGTCATATTCACTTGTGACCAAAGAGCATTATAAAACGAAGAGATAACAATTTATTTTATTTTAACTATCATTTTTTATGCGGTCTTGCAATAAGAGCAGACTTCGATTATGTTTTTACGAAGTGAAATCTGAAAAATGATCTACTCTTTAAATTTTACAAATAAGAGAATTTCTATCCAAAAACTCAAGTCAAAAGGAAAATGCCACTGGTCTCTGTATGCTGCAATGGATTGTGTATAGTATTGCTACCTCCTCTCTCATCAAAACCAAGAACGAAAATTAAAGCCATATTTTTCAGCAAAGCTTCAAACTACATAAAGTTGCCAGTTACATTGAATCATTCATAGAGGTAAAAGTACTGAGGATCAGACCAGTGCATTTACAAAGTGGGCTTTGCATATACCCAACTGAAGCTGCACAGTATGCAGATACAATGAAGGAGAAATTTGATTTAAATGATCAGTAAAGCTTTACACAACCTGCGGATACAGATGTAGTTGGAGAGAGCAGCAATTTGAAGTCACTCTTTATATGTACAAGACTCTAATCACATTACTTTCACATCCAGCTGCATTCAGGTGCACTAATCACAACCACTTTTTTCTCTTCAGTTCAAGAAAACAACTGTAGATGAGTGTCCAACCTGACCAGATGCACAAAGCTGCACTTGAAATTGTCTCTGGCAAACAACAGGAGCCCGCATTCCAAGTTTACAGCTAATATGCAATGATCTTGTCGCAGCAGACAAAGTATCAGATGAAAATTCAGCTTCCCTTAGCACCATACGACTTCTTTTGGCTGCACTTACTGATCCCTTTGGTTCATTAATTAGTTCATTGGGAATCTGCAACAATTTGGGATAAAAGTGATGGAGAGCATCCTTCTGGTAGACTTTTTCCAAGTTCTCCACTTCTGTCTCGCCTTCCATATCAAATTTACTAGTCAAGTTTTGCTTTTCAACTGAGTTAGCCACTCCATTTGCTGCCTCAGCTAATCCGACACCACGACAGGCTTCTGCAACAAGCATATAAGTGCTTTCCTCTGGTTGAATGTTGAATTTTTCCATGATTTGGATTACCTCTTGCGCTTCCCGAGGCTTTTTATTTTCTGCATAACCCCATATCAGAGTTTCAAAAGCTTTCAGATTAGGAGATATCCCACACTCACACATCCTCTCGAAGATCCTCATTGCACAATCCATTCTACCAGCAGTGCACCATCCACTAATTACAGTAGTGAAAATCACAACATTTGGAAGGTTCCCAGATTTAACCATGGTATTCAGGACTTCTTCTGCTTTTTCTGGTTCCATTGCACGAACGTAACCCTTGGCCAAAATGCTATACGCGTGGACATCAGGCTGAATGCCAGCTTCGACCATGTCATCGAAGACCTCCCTGCACTTAGCCATATATCCTGCAGCACCCCAGGCATTCATGATGGTGCTGAAAGTAATGACATCAGGTTTGACGCAGAACTCTTCCATTAATGTAAGAACCTGATCAAATTGATGGAGCCTTTTAGTGGACATAATTTTTTTGAATTTGGCAAGCATGTGAAGAGTAACAGAAAAAGATGCAGAAGTTCTACATTCCTAAAGAAGCATATCACTATAAAATTCAACCATTCAATGCAAGCATTCTATGAATGAATTGGCTAATGAATGACGCAGGCAAATTCGAAATCATGTTTACATGCACGTGGCTCTAACTAGTGTCCTGTCTCCTACACTGTATTGATCTATGCTTAACATTTCAAGTGGAAAATGTACTTGTGAAGTGGTTCTTAACACACACACACACACACACACACACACACACACACACACACACACACACACACACACACACACACACACATATATATATATAAGACTTCAAACAGCATTTTTAAGTAAATCAATACAGATATCATTTGGGGAATGAAAATTGACAGCCTTGTACAACAAGAATAATACTTGTGTTTGCATCATTTGAATCATTTTATAGCATTTTTCAGTTAGTTAAAGATGTTACTTGATGTTTCAGACTGCATAGGGAGAGGGCTTCAGTTGTTCAAACTCAGCTTGAACCTTTGACTTTCTATTCTCTCAGCTTTTTATTTCTCTTCATGGCTTACAATGCTTTAGTCATTCAAACTCTATTGAATCTTTGATTTCCCTTTCAGTATGCTTTTCCACTCTTTTTTTCTTTTCTTTTTTCTAGTTTACTAGCTGTCCTTTCCAACTCTGTCGAATGGTTTCACTCCCTTTTCCCCTTCTTTCAGTTCCTTGTCAGTCAGTCGATGCAGAGGGCGTTTTCACTTTCTATTACAATGTGAAATGAGAAGACAGAAAAAGAAAAATACCTCTTCTGAAACCCCTACCCCATGGTTTCAATTTGAAGTTGGCTTTTCATTCTGGCTAGTCTAAAAGTTATTATCATTCAAGAAGGAACAATTCATAACCTGATTTTCCGGTATTCTGTTTAAACATGACTTGTTAAAATGGGGCCTTATATGAGTCCCAATATAGGGGTACAGAATTTGCCACTGAGGCCCTGCTAAAGTGATAAGGCTGAGGTGCAAGGATCATTGAGGTCAGTGGCTCTAATCTCCAAACGCTAGGTAAGCTTGTTGTATTCACCTTGTTCATTAAACCGGGTGTCTTCTCATTAGGTTAGTTTGATATAATTTCATCTGATTTGCAGTCTCCGAAATTGTAGTTTTGTTTTTGTGTTCACTGCTTCACTCCAAAAAAAAAGGGAAGGAGTTGAAAGTGCCTCATATTTGGGTTTCTATACATTCACTTTGACATTTCCAACTTTTACGCATACAATTTCTCTACCTTTTTTTCCCTCAAAGTCATAATATCAATCTTTCACTCTTATGAGTTAAAATGCAATGTTAAACATCAAAGAAAGAGGAAATTACTTTGGTCCCCCCTGCTTATTCTTTTATTGCAAAGCGAAGAACAGTGGCATCTAATCTGCCACCAATCATTAGATTTTTTTTAAAATACAATAGAAGGTTAATAGTTATTAATCAAAAGATATACCAATACGAACCTCATCAACGCTGTCTCCGTCTGACATGTCAAGGAAGCCTTTGATCAGTGAATTGAAAATGACAAGGTTAGGATGTATTCCAAGATCCTTCATCTTGTACACAAACCTCAAGGCGTCCTTTATTTTACCTTCTTTACAGTATCCAGATATAATGATGCCACAAGTCCTTTCGTTAGGGTGCACATTGTTCCTTTGCATTTCTAAAATCACTCTTTCCGCCTTTTCAGTTTGATGATTTTGACTATAAGCTGCTGCTATCGTATTGTAAGTGATAACATCCGGTCGTAAACCACAAGCTATCATCTTATCCACCGTATTCCATGCATCAGCAAAATTCTTTTTGTTACACCATGCTTTAACAAGTACATTGTATGTCCTCAGATTTGGTTTCACATTAACTTCCTGCGACATTAACTCCATTATCTTTATAGATTCTTCAGGCTTTCCAGCAATTCCATACCCTTTGATCAAAGTGTTAAAAGTGCTGATTGCAGGCTTTATCCCACTCTCCATCATCTGTAAGAAGGCTTTCATTGCTTCCTCCATGTTTCCAGATTCAGAAAAAGCATTAACAACAGCATTGAAGAAAACTGGATCTGGATTCATACCATTTTCTTGCACTTCAGATATAATGGAATGGATGTGATTGAAACGCTTCTGGGCTGTCAAGGCCGCTAAGAGGGTAGTGTATGTAATTAGAGATGGTTTATGCCCTCCTTTAATCAAACTATCAAAGATCAGCTCGGCTTCTTTGGGCCTCCCTCTTTCTAAAACAGTGTTCATCAGTTTTGTTCTTGAGCGAACAGTTCTACAGCTATTACCATTCACACAAAAGGTGCAGAGGACAGATTCAGGTGTTGGTCGCAGTGGCATCTTATCGTCTAGATCTTTTTCCTGCAGTCATAAAGGCTTTTAAATTTTAGCAACAACCACTGATCTTGAACCACAACAGCAGAGCAGTTATCCTTTTAAAAAAAAAAAATTGTTTTTAAATCAAAGATAACCGTAAAAGTTACCTGTAAAGAATGAAATCTAATAAATTAGCTTCAGATTTTAATGTTTCAACTTCATGTGGTACTGAAACTAATACTCTATGTAAGAGGACTATAAGAGAAAAATGAAAAAGGAACCCCACATTTAGAATCAATGAAAGAAACATCAACCCTGTGTTAGGACTTACTATCTGGTTAAGCCCCAGTCCTACATTTTATTACTCCCTAATTCAATACCCATGACAAAAAATTTGTTGTTCAAAGCAATATAATTTAGCGATTTCATTTATTTCTGTAGTGCTTCTCCCAAAAAAAAAAACATCCTTCAACCTTATTAACACTGCAGGCAATCATACAAACATATCATTATATTTACACTAAAGACAATTTCTTTTGGAGTCAGTTTTCTATATAATGAAAACCATCATTCTTTTCGGGACAAGGGAAAGAATGTACAGAAATAAATTACCAAAGGAAGACTTGAAGGAAAAGAACAAAACTAAAAAAAATGGAAAAACTATTCTACATTCTAAAAGGCTTGCTAGTGGCATAGAAGGCACAGTTATATGTCCTCGTCTCGACGTGGACCTCAAATTTTGTTTGAATAGAACCAAATGATGCCTTCTTCTTAGCAAATCCAAGGACTTTTAACAGGAGATAGGCTAGAAAGATACCAACATATGCCGGTGGAAGTGTCCGTCTTCTCCCAACTCAAAACATTCTGCAATAATCCCCTTCATATGTTTACCCAAAATGGGTAGACCGTGTACTAAGTGACTCACGCATCCCACTATATATATGCACAATGTGGGGGAGAAAAGGAGAAAAAACTATTATGTTGAAATTGGTGGTTAATAAGATATAAGAGGGCTCCTTTTATAGGAGTTGAGTTACATGATAGAGGGAAGTAACCTAATTCTTGGGATTTCTGATTATTATGACATAATCATTAGGAATTATTTTCACAAAGTTCTTAATGATTCTCTTGATTTTCAATAATGACATAATCATTAAGAATATTCTACAAAATACTCTAAAAGATTTTCTTGATTTTTAAGATGCCCCCTTAACTAGGAGTGTCAATGGATATTTAAAAACCGACTAAACCGTACCGAACCGATTTCTAGGTTTCTTTTAATAAAACCGTAGGTTTTATTATAAATCTATAACCGTACCGATAATTAGGGTAGGTTTTTTATTTTATAAAAATAAACCGAAAAAATACTAAACTGTACCGAATAAATTTACATGTGAAAAATATATTTATATATTAAGTTTAAGAATAATAATGTATTAAAATTTTCCTTGGGCCTTGGAATTGTGAAAACTGTTACAAGCAAACAAGTAATTAAACTCAAAATCTTAATTCCAAACCTATAATGCTACTCCTATTGAAACTAAATTATTTCCAATATATTCACTAGCAAGACACAAGCTATTCTAGCGATTAGTAGCAAACTACAATGTATTGAATATGTTTCCTTTCATATGATTTAGATTTAATTTTTTGAATATTTAATCTTCTATAGACTTTATTCTTGAGTTCCAGCTTGGTTAATATCTTTTACTCGGTTAATATCTTTGTTTAGTTTCTTTTATGCTGCTGTAGAATAGTTGATGGATCTATACTCTGGCCATCTTTAATATTTTCTTAGTTCATCACCATTTAAAGAGTAAAAATATCTAGAGAGTTTGCTAAGTCCTATAAAAGTATGTATGTTATTGCATTCTACCTCTACTAGTGACTTTTACATGACATTTTAAAAAGATACCGAAAATTAACCGAACCGTACCGATACCGAAGAGAAACCGACATGATTGAGACTGTTTCGAAAAGTCTAATTTTGGTTATGCATAATAGAATAACCGAAAAATTGGTATGGTACAAATTTTAGAAAATAACCGTCCGAACCGAACCATTGACACCCCTACCCTTAAACGTAAAGCAACTTGTATTTGCAACTCAAACCGGAAAGTGTTGCTGAAAATAAAATTGATTTTGGCACTATCATGAGACTGACTTGGCCACAGCGCTATTGTGAACCAGTATAACATAACAGAAGTCAAAGGCATTTATGCTGCCAGCTTGATCAAATTGCTGAAAAAAACAAGTATGCCGCAAGCTGGTTCCAAACTATTGACTAGGTGATGATTTTCAATGATGTGGCTCAGACTGCAATGGAATGGCTCTCGCCAGCTAAAAGTGGGTCAATACCTTGATGTCAACTGACACGGACTACTGGTGAGCTGAATATCGCCTGTTGATTTGACAAGTCAACTGACATAGACTGCTAACTTGACATGTTAGGTGGCGTAGATTGAGGACTAAAAAATGGTAGAGTGTTAACTAGTCAGTTAATGTGGACTGATGATAGAAACCTAGAGATTAGATAGTGTGCGGCATGCCGCATGCGTAGGACAGACACAGACAGAGATGCCCTACCACAATCGTAAACTATAAAAAGAAAGAAAAACTTCCGCAAACGAACAGGTAGCCCTCTGGTAGACTGAAGCTTTTAGATCTTTTTAAATGTAAAATAATTTTATTAAGAATGGAAAACTCTCCCATATACAAGCAGTATGCCAAAAAGTAGAGAATCTACAGCATAATATGATTCTCCAATGTTTCATTTTACCTTGTATGTCGGCATTTGATTGGGCACAAAGTTTAAGATGTTAATTTGTATGTTATATTAGTGATAATGAAGGTAAATGAACTATTAGATCGATAGGGAAAACATCAGATCAACATTTAAGGTCAAATTAATGGATTTGAATTCTTGAAAGTTGTGAGAGTCGCATAAAAATAGTATGATTTCAAACATTTTGGAATGTTCCAAAATTGGAAGGGTGTCATATAAATTGGAAGAGGTTGAGTAACATGTTATCACATTAAATGTACCTTGATTGGTGATGCATGCAGCCACTCTTTTCTGATAAGGGTCCTCATGCCCGACTTCTTGTGATATGTTTCACAGTTTCGCTTTTCTTTTCCAAAATCATCCATGTAATTTCCTGAAAATGTGAAAATGTTTGCCAAGTGAGTATTGGTGTCCTCAATTGGCTTTAGAAAATATGTAAACATGCTTACTTTGGAAGCTCCACAAACAAATTAACTAGAAACATTATCAGATGACCCTGAAGGGACAACAGTAACAAAAATGTGAAGCTAACAGACTGCAGGAAATTTCACGAGAAAGTATATTTGAGGGCATCAGTACAGGAATTTAAACACAATATCATTATAGACGTTTTTTCACTGGGTAATTCACTGAAGCTGACCTAGAGCAGGGCCTACTAGTGACAAAAGATTTACACTCAGCAAGCATACAAGCAATTAAGAATTGAAGTAGATAACGACTGCAAAAAAGAAAATTTCAACTGTGAGGCAAGTAACCAAATTTCCACCTAAATTTGGGGATTCATGCATATTCCTCTTTCACGCCAAAAACAAAGACAAACAGATTCTTACAAAGAATCACGTCCACTGACCAAAATAAATCAGATGAGTAGGACTATGATGATCTTAACAATTTCCTTTCTAGTAGCTTTCGTGTTAAGCGTGATTCACAAACTCAATATATCAAGGCAGAGGGAGCATGACTTCTTTGTTGGATATTTTATCATTACTACTTGAACGAGCTGCTCTTTGTAGACCAATTCTACATGAGATAAACATCACCTTTCCAAGTGTTGGCTAGTTCTAGAAACTGAAGCTGACACTACCTTTATGGCTGATGCAATTAATAGAAAGTAAGTCTGCCCAAAGCAGCTATAGAGTTAATTAAAAAATATCAACTCAAAATAGTGAAAATTCTGGAAGCAGGTTTCAGGAAGGAAGTACTGATTTGCTAGACATAGTAGAATTCTACACATTTAATCAACAACAATAGGATAATCAAAGTTTACGGAAATTACCCAAAATCAATTAATTTGAAGATCAATCAGTCAATACTAGTGTTACACAAGAAAAGGACTCTAGAAAGAGAAAATGACCNTAAACCCATTTCTGCAATCAACCAAACAAGCATTACTCACTCTACAAAAAAAAACCATTTCTCCCCAAAAAGAAAAAGTCAGACCAAGAAACACAACACAAAGAACTGGGAAAACAAGGCAAAAGGTAACAAAATCATCCCAGCAGAAACATTAACTATCAACCCAATAAAAAATATTCAAGAATCACTAAGCAAAAAACCAAATTTAGCTTGACTGACTTCTTGAAGAAAAATAAAGGAAAATGGAGTACCTTTATCCGAGAGATTTATTTGCATGCGGTACTACTGCAACTTGTTGGTTTCTTATACTATCAGAGAATAAATGAGTTGAGACAATTTGTTATATTGAAAATCTTATCCACAGATATATAATTTTGGATTGCATAGGAAAATATAGTCCTTCCAAGTTCCAAAGGATAAGGAATGGAGAGAAGAGAAGAAAGGTTGGAAAATATGAAAGAGACAATTTGGATGAAATCCTCTTTCTTCTTTTCTCTACATTGGCCTTTTTTCTTTTCCTCGCGAAAAAAGACAAAAGAAAAAAAAAACTTGCTTGTGTGTGTATAACATTTTTTGAAATATAAATATCTTTTCTCAATAGTAGGTTATTTATTTGTTCATTTAATCAATTTGCTAAAAAGCGATATTTATTAAGTCAAAAAGATTAAACAGAATTATAGTAAACCTAATAGCAGGCTTATTGAGATGACTAACTATCTTCAGGAATGTAGTATGTAGTCTATTGTTATAATCTTTTTTTAGAAAGAAAATAAATTATTATAAAGTGTATTATGTATATTTGAAAATTGAAAGTGAAAGAATTATGAATGTGGCCAATTATCGGTGGAAAGTTAAAGATAGTGTACTTACTGCTTTGGAAGCTGTAATCTAACCAGATGGCACAACGCCATCCTAAATGTTGAAAACAAGGATTATTTGATAATAGGATGGACGAAATCTTAATCCTTGATGCTAACTAATTTCGGGTGTGTTTTGTAGGAAAGAAAATATTTTTCGGAAAATGTATTTTAATTTTCTCATGGGTTGAGTTAAACGTTCTGATAAACATTTTTTTCAGAATTCAATTAGAGGAAAATATTTTTACTATCAAAAGAAGCAAGACAAATATATAGACGGCCCCTTAAATTTGGTTCCAGTTTCTATTTTGACACCTTAACTTAGTACCTTTCCTATTGAACACTTTAACTCTATTTTAGTCTATACCATTTAAACACAACACATGATCGGTCAAAGGAGCGTTATGTCCACACATGGTAAGCACGTGAATGTTATTAATATTTGCTTAGGTGGATATTCTAACGGTAAAAAAAAACTCACCCGTTAGACCCACTTCAAAACACCCGATTTTTCCATTATTTCTCTCAAAAAGCCCTAATTCCTCTTTCGTCTTCTTCCCCTTTCAAAGTCGTCATTTTTCCCTTCAACTGAAGCTTAGGTGCCCAAGCTTAAATCTTTATCTGATTTCTTCATCTTTCTCGTTTATCAGTTCCATGTCACAAAAATCAACAACTTCACGCAATGGAATGGATATTTGCCAATATGGATTGAATGCGCCACTGACTATATCATGGTCACCTGCAAACCCATGTCGTCGATTTTATGGTTGTAAATTGGTAAGTCGATTGTATTGCTTAGACTCTTGAATTTCTTAAAAAAGAAATCCGTTTTTAATATTTTTGGCCACATTTCTTTTTTAATTTTGTAGGGTCGAGGTGGATGCAAATACTTCAGATGGCATGATGATGAAATGCCCGACCAAGCTAAGAGGGTTATACGGGCTCTGTTGAAGAGAGTCGAAAGAATTGAGAAAACAGTTGCGCGGTTGGAGTGGTTATTTGTTGTGGTGGTGGTGCTGTTTCTATGAATTTGGCTTTGCTGATGCTGGTGGTTTGAAGAACAATGTAGTATTTTTATGTTATGCTGGTGATAATGGTATTGTAGTTGTTGCTATTAGTTCAAGAACAATATAGTATTTGGAAGTGGGTACTAGGAATTTAGCCTTTTGTTAATGTACACTATCTTGTTATGAATGAAATGGCAATGACCAATTTTTTTATGCAAATTGAAGTTCAGCTGCACTCCCATATTGTGTTATGAATGAAATGCGAATTCATATTCATGAACTGAAAACATAACTGCCCAAACATATTCATGAATTAAAAGCATAACTGCCCAAACATTCAATCGCATAATGTGATGAACTAGCATTACACCGAAGCTAAAAAACAGAGCATTATTTTGGTCTACAAATTACAAAAACATAGCATTGTTTTCCAAACAAATAACTGTCCAAACTAGTAACCTATAACAGAGCATAATGTATCAAATAGAGCATAACTGCCCAAACAAAAAACTAGCAGTGACATCTTAGATAATATAAACAAAAGCTGGTTTGCTTCACAGTGTAGATGCAACTGAACTTGTTTGACTTGAAGGGCCTTTTTTCCTTGCTGCACTCATCTGCTGAAGTTGTGACCTTGTCACTGCATTTCTTGCTTTAAACTTCAATCCAGGAGGCTTAAATCCAATGTCTATGTTAGTTACAAATGTATCCTTGAATGTCCCAGCTGATATGACTCTCTCAGATGATATACCAACCTGTAAAATACAATGAATTAGTTAAAACAGAATAATTTCATCCCACAAAACTGCCAAACCAACATCTATGTTTGTTGTTTCTTCAGTCACAAATGTGTTTTCTGCAGTACTTTCTTGGACATTTATATCCTCTGGAACATTAGATGTTACCCCCAGCCTCTTTATTTAATGTATTTTCACTTGGTTCAACAACTTCTGGCCCACATAAAAGGCCACATGCGACAGTCTCATCAACCAACAAAGGCTCGTTAACTACATGCTTAATAAATAAATCTAAATGATCAAGATGATTAAGGTGACAAACTATATTATCAATCAAGACAAAGTCATTAGATTTCGGATTAATTAAATAGAAACCCTCTACCTTAGCATACCCATATCCTTTGTGATGACCCAAAATATTATTTTTAAATTTAATAAATAATTATGTGTTCTAAGACCTCGAAAAGTACTATTTATCATTCCTCGACTTGCGTGCATAATCCGTAAAATTTTTCGAAAAGTTTTCATGTGAAAAATGGATTAAAATGTGAAATAGAGCTTTAAAACTCAATTGAGTTGACTTTGGTCAATATTTTTAGCAAACAGACCCGGATTAGTATTTTGACAATTCCTGTAACTTCGTATCGTGATTTGGGACTTTGGCGTATACCTGAAATTTAATTTGGAGGTCCCAAACTCAAGTTATGACCATTTAACGGAACTAGCAATTTAAAGGCTAAAAACTTCCAAGTTTGACCACGGGGTTAACTTTTTTATATCGGAGTCGGAATCTAATTCTGGAAATTTGAATAGTTTCATTATGTCATTTATGACTTGTGTGCCAAATTTGAAGTCATTCCGGATTCATTTAATATGTTTTGGCACAAGATTTACAAATTGAAAAGTTTAAAACTTAAAAGTTCGAATCGAGCTGTGGATTGTAATTTTGATGTTGTTTGGCGTGAATTGAAACCCCGAGTAAGTCCGTATTATATTTCTGGACTTGTTTGTATATTTGGACGGGGTCCCGAATACCCCGAGTGTGATTCGAATCGAAATCGAAATAAGAATTGGACTTAAGCAACAATCTGAAATTCGGCCTTCTGGTGTAATCGCACCTGCGGATTTTTGACCGCAGGTGTAAGGTCGCAGAAGCGAGCCGTCCATGAATATCGGATTTTTATATGGAAAATTAGTAAATTCATATGGAATTAATTCCTATGATTAGTATTGAATATCGAATTTTTTGTGAATAGATTTGAAGCTTTTAGAGACAAATTTAAAAGGAAAAATTGTGGTTGAGTAATTGATTGGAATTTGCAAAGCGAGGTAAGTGTCGTGGTTAACCTTGACTTGAGGAAATAGAACTCTTAAATTATTTGTTATGTGAAATACATGTGAACAATGTATAGGCGAGGTGACGAGTGTCTATACGTCGTCAAATTAATTATTTGCCTGCTTACTTAAAAATTCATGATTTAATTATTATAATAATTATTTCTCTCCTATTCTTTGTCAAATATTAATTCTTGAATTCCTGCATTAATTGTTACATGCTATTTGAATTATGTGCCTTAATTGTTATTTGACATCTAACATATTAAATATTAAACTGCATATTTTCTCTCTGATTTTCATAATAATTTGCTATTTGTCTTTGTTTGTTTCATAATTAAATCATAATTATTGTATGCTTATTGTCTTATAATTTTATATTAATTGTTGCATTTATTGGAGAAATTTCTTCTATAAGAATTGGTAAATGAATATGTTGAAGGAGCGGGTTGCACGCCGCAACAGAATTGATTATAATGAATATATTGGAGGATCAGGTTGCATGCCGCAACAAAATTAATTATAATAAATATATTAGAGGATTGGGTTGCACGCCGCAACAGACTTATTTAAAAGTCAATATTGGGGGATCGGGTTGCACGCCGCAATAGATTTATTTAAAAGTCTATATATACTTGATTGAAATAAATATATAACAGACTTGATTAAAATGAATATATTNACCCTTATTTGTATTATTCTAGAAGCTCGTGCACTTGTGACACCAATGGATAAACAAATTTAAAAATTATTTTAAAAATGGATAATATTATTCTAACGTTGGCTTGCCTAGCAAGTGAAATGTTAGGCGCTATCACGGTCCGAAGGGGGGAATTTTGGGTCATGACATCCTTTCTGTAGGACAGAAGCTCAAAAAGAGAAAAGTGGTCCTTGTCTATCATGTGACTATCCTTACCCTTCTCTCCTACATATCTCAGGTCAGGATCCTTGACAATATGTCCACCATGGTAAAAATCGACAATAATATATTCGTCTGCAGACATGTCTAGATTTACCACTGTATTGAAAAACCAAAAAGCGAAACAGAGGATGTTAGTAGATTCCCCAACCCAAAATTATAAAAAACCCTAATTTTCACAAACTCCAATCAAACTAAATTACAACAACCAAAAAACAACTATCTTTTCAGTAAATAAAAGCTTACCACAAAGGAAAACTTCGATTGAAATAGCATAAACAACGAAACTTCAGTCACGACCAACTCCAGTCACGACTAGCTCCAGTTACGACCAACTCCACTCACCACCACGGTCGAAAGAAGCAAACGATTACCCGTATTAGTAATATAACCGACCAAGATGTTAATGGACAGCTGAATCTAACTCAAAATCGATAAAGATTCCACTGAGAATCGGTCTCAATGTAGTTCATTAGGGTTTATTAGGCTAAAGAAAAGGGATTTTAGGTGGAAGATCGATTAACTGAGGCGAGATAAAATGTGAGTAAGGTAAAAAAAGGGTTTTTTATCCGACCTGGATAAATAAACACGTGTCAGACTATTATTGGTATGTTATTCCACGTGGGAAGTGTTTAAAAATACGTGCTTAAGTTT